CAGGAAGACTCGCCTGTGAAGCAGCAGGGAACGGATACTAGTATTTCTGTAGATGAAATTACAGAAGCTCTGAAAAGCTTAAAAGTGAAACGCTGCTGGAAGTGATGAGATCCGCCCTGAAATATTCTAAGTATTAGCCGAACAAGGCAAGTGCTGGCGTACACGTGTCTATCAAACTGCGATGACTGCGAGAAAGACACCAGCGGACTGGAGAACGGCAGTTATTGTACCTGTATTCAAGAAGGGAGACCACAAGGAATGCTGCAGTTGTAGGAGCATTACGTTATTGAGCCTACCAGGTAAAGTCTACTCAAAGTAGCTGGACAGGAGGTGCCGCGGTATAACTGACTCCAAGATACTAGAGGAGCAGTATTGCTTATCGGGGCGGTCGAAGCACATATCTGAACATATATTTGCCCTGCGCCAGACTGTTAAGGAATCGTCGGAGTACGCCCATCCGTTACATGTGTTTTGTTGACCTAGAAAAAAGCCTATGACAGGATCCCGCGCAACACTGTGATCATGTCTTCGAACATTCGGGATAGATGGCTAGCTGCTAAGGGCTATCCAATCACTGTATTCTGATAGCAGATGCTGCGTCAGAGTAAATGGCGTTAAGTCGAAACCCTTCGACGTTGGCGTTTGTCGCAGCCAAGGCTGCGTCCTGTCTTCTCTCCTGTTTGTGTTGTGGATGATTAGTATAGTCAAGAGCTGCCAAGGCGATGAGGGTATCGGTGTAGGAGGTATAAAGAGGAGAAGAATGCTGCTTGCAGAGGCCTTATTTTATTGGCATCTTCAGAAACTAATCTACAGTGCTCGCTAAAAAAGTTCGCGGCCGAGTGCGACGTGACCGGCATGCGTGTGACCGCATCTAAACCGAAAAGCCTAGTGCTTTCTGATTCTCGTGCCCGTTGCTCTGTTCAGATTAACGTAGGGTCAGTGGAGCAGGTGAAAAAATTCAACTACCTCGGAGTCGTATTTTCTAATGCTTGAAAATTTGAGTGAGATCGACCGGCAAATTGGAGTAACGAGTGGTGTTCTGCGTGAGCTGACCCGGTCCACTGTGACTTAAGCAAAGCTCAGTCTGAAAACTAGACTCTTTGTGTTGAAGTCAATCTTTTTCCCCATGCTTACCTACGGTCATGAGTCATGGACCGTGACTGTAAAGCTTCGAACCCAGGTACTAGCTGTTGAAATATGGTTTCTTTGACTAGTCGCCGGCCTTACGCATCGACATGGTCCAGAATGCTGATACTCAGGAAAGCCTTGGTGTACATCTGCTGCTACTTCAGAATGAGAAGTGACAGCAGCGATGGTTTGGGCATGTGCTGTGAATGCTCCCAGAAAGGAAAGCTAAGCAACTCTTTCTTGCGAAACGGACCGGCAGAAGGCCGGGCCCAGGGGACAGCCATGATTAACCTTGTGCACATATACGCGAGGAGTCTGTTCCAGAATCCAGTTGTCTTTTGCCGAAGCTGAGACTTTGACACAAAATCGGGACCGTTGGTAGCCCTGTTCCCTCTGCCTACGCGACCCGAAAGGAGAACCGGACATGGAAGATGAAGAAGTTGAAATTGTAGATTTAAAGGAAAATTTATAACCGCTGGAATGTCATTCTCTCTCCCGCACACTACCATGACCGGATCAGTTGTGAAATCCTTCGTTTCATGGAGTTTATGATTCGGCGCTGATCTTTGTTTCTGTGCAACCAAAACTAGAACTGGTTTACTTTGAAATTTTGTCTGTGTCTATAGAGGAAACTTAATGCGCAGATTCCCATTTTCATTATCACGGCGTGGTGTACGATTATCTGCGTCGGAAACGTAAAAATGGGTCGATATTTCGAGTGTGAGTCGAGGCTTTTTCGACTAGTCAACTCCTGATCATCAAAGTAGGGTTACTCTGGTTCTCTGCTTCCAATATCCACTTAGTAAGCTGAAAAATGTGGATGTTCGCAGATGAACGCAAGCAGCGAATTAAAGGGAAGCTCCCTGATCTGAAACAAATGTTGCTCCCATCGCCAGCACCTCAAGTTCAGTAAGGAAAGGGTTCTTGTGTGGGAAGCACAACCGACACTTGACATTCTGTCGCTGTGGGCAATGCGCCCTATGTAATCAATGAAAAGAAACTGATGGAAACTGGAAAAGAATCTAAATATGTTCTGACACCGGTCTCCCGGGCCAAAAATGTGAATTCCCTTTTGATGATTTGTGCTGGAAATTTATGAGATATTTTATACTGTTAGTTGTCACTTATGCTTCTCCAGTCTATTATGGAGCAATAATAAGAGGTGATTTGCACTACTGCGGCAATGTTTTGGGTCAAACGTCAGACCTGTAGAATTGCAGTCTAGTCTCCTGCCTAAGACCATTGTGCAGACTGTTTATGACAGTTCTGTGTCCTTCTCTAGATGGATATTAAAAGATTTCTCCAGCCCGCTTCACACTGATTTAACAGCCAACTGCTGTCAGAGTTCCGTTACACGATGATATTGCATTATGCCGAAATCGGAAACTGAACTGTACACAAAATCAGTGTTACCCCCACTTAATTCATATCCTCATTAATCCTTCTGACTTGAAGTTTCTTTCTTACTTTCTATGTTTATTACGTAATCATTTTCTTGCTGTTGAACGCTCTGTCTGTACGGAGCCGAATGCAGAAAGAAGCGTCTTCATGAATAGCGTTAATAAATGCTGAATACCAAGTAAGGCATTGAGCGTCAAGTCCTCAAATAAAACGAACCTTGAGGAAAATACTAACTCTGTGTGTATTAGATAAGCTTCGTCGCATGTGTCATTAAGGAACGTAGTGTTCTAGTGTGTTACGTCGTTGATTTAGTGGACTCGCGCGGATAAGAACGGATATCCTGAACAATTGCACCCATCTACTGTATAACAGACTCGCAATGTCTGTCGCAAATTTCGTCAGCTGGATCTAGGTACGTCAGTGAGTTTTCCAAAATAAAACTGTATCGAAGTTCTGTAGTCCCACCTTCAGCGCGCGTTCTACGAAGTCTTACTAACGTTAAGCAACAGCAATACTTGGACGTGCTCGGTGTGACGTTGTCTTCTGTCAGTTTGTCTCTACCAACTTTGTTTCGTGGTTGCGTACTGGTTTCACTAGTGGTTCGTTTGTTGCTGTTTTTTAGCTCTGAGTGTTCTAGTACTATTCTGTTTTGTGATATGTTCAGTGACTTCATGTTTTTTGTTTTCTTTTGCTATAAAATGGAATCATTTGGTGATCTCGTTCAAGCAGTAAACTTTCATTCATTCAGACAGCGACATGG